TATATATATATATATATATATATATATATATATATATATATATGATATTATAATATATAAGATATTATATATATTAAATATTATATATTATATTTCTCTATGAAACAATTGCAATATATATATATTAAATTTCTTCCTCAAAACATAATAACTTTTATTAGAAATATAAAAAAAAAGAAATGTGAGTTATTTAGTTATATCATCTAAATTGCAAGCCTGGTATAAATCAGCTACGATGTTATCTCGATTATTTGCATAAGCCTAAGATCGACTTGAGCCTTTTTTGTTGTTGTTGTTGTTATTCATGAAATTGCTATCTAGCATTTGAAAACGTACTGTAATCACCAGGACACGATTTGCAGCATCTTCCCGGTAGTAAGACTGGTTCGTCGCAGGTGGGCTTTGGACATTCGTTCTTAATGTTACGGCATTGAACCCTAGCGATGATTCGTCGTTTCTTTTGCACCTAAAACAACAAAAACATACAAAATAAGTATTTAGCTTTCTTTTACTTATTATTCATTCACTGCAATGAGTAGATATTTAAACAAGTGTTATCTTTCATTGATGTTTCCTAAGAATAATGAATTCTATCTACTCTCTTATCGATAAATTCTTTTACAAGATATATATATACGTATATGTATATGTATAGTGGTGAAGTTGGAAAGTAACCATGTGCTATGTTTTCAAGTATGTAAATGAAGCACAAAGTGTATATTACTTCTTTACGCATCATTGAATCTATCTCACAGCAAGTAATTGACATCTGATAGAATACATAGAAAAGAACTAGTTTATAATCAGAAATAGATCCCACCACAGGGATGTCAAGATGTCTTTTTCACTTCAATATTATTATTTGTATTTACCAAGATAAAAGAAGGACAAAAAAAAATAGAAAATAGAGAAGAGTGTTAGTCCGTAAATTGTAGAGTTTAGGATAAAATTACACAGCGTCCTAGTTATCTTTTCAGGTGCGAAGGAGAGAGAGAAAACCATTCTTTATTTTCTTATTTTCTTTTTTTCTTTTATAGAACCTGTGGGCACAACCCGAAAAAGGAGAATCCGTGTTCCGGTTGACCATGGATAAAACCGAGAGGCGGAAATTAAGTGAAGGGTTTTATAGAGCCATGCGGCATTCCTGAGAAATCGAAAGGACAGAGACAGAGAGACAAACTAAGAGAGAGAGAGAGAGAGAGAGAGAGAGAGAAAGTTTAAACTCGGGGACAACAAACCCTGAACGTTGCCACGATTTCGATTATTTCCCTTTTTTTTAATCCCAAAGCTGAGAAATTCTTTCCTTCTTTGCCGATTTCTTTCTGACGATAATATCGGCCGTTTTGCGGAAGAGTCAAAATTATTATCAGATCCGATCAGATAAGAAAGAAAGAAAGAAAGGAAGGAAGGAAGGGAAAAAGGGAAGGACTCTTTTGAATCGTTTGAAATATTTCTTTGGGATGAGAGAACATTGCTGATGGTTGAGGAGAGGTAAGGAGAAATGAAATAAGAAGAAAAGAAAAAGAATAAGACACGAAGGATGCTGAGAGAGAACGTAATCTTCAAAGAACAAGAACGGTCGGTCTCTCCCTCGTATTGCCGGGGCTGATTCATAGGCCCGAGGCGCTTGAGGCGTCTGTCTCTTCTTCTAACACACTAAGCCGCGCGACCTATCAATAGCCCCTCATGCACACTCGAGAGGGACTGTCATTCCACCCAACTCTAAAAATAGAATTTGCGCGTTCGTCCATAAGCTCTTCCTTGCAACTATAACCACACGACAACCTTTCTCTTCTTTCTCTCTTACCCTTTTTTTTTTTCTACATCTATTTGTCTCTTTTTCATTTCTTCTTTTTTTCTTTTTTTCTTCTTTTTATTTTTTCACACGCCTCGCATACTTCTTCTTACTATTATTAATTTAGACATTTATGGTATAATACTATTTGTCCCATGTGTTAATTGAAACAAATCAAAATCTAATGGACCCCCGAGACGCACGGCAAAAGTGTAAACCAACGTAAGACTGTTGCTGCTGCTGCTAGTCAAGGACACGTTCTTAGAAGATTGGCAGAATTGAACTCTATTAAAACTGGTCGCGACCGTAGATCCAACTGATCAGACTCAGACGTTGGACTTGAGATCGATCGATAAAATCCATGTAAAAAGAGACACTAAAAAAGAGATAGAAAATCATCAACCGACGACGAGTTATGCATGTACTACTTTTAATTATTCTCAAAGTCATAGAAAATTAACTGAAAGAAAAAGTACGAATCTCTATTAACTATCTTTTCTTCATTTTGTAAAATAATTATCAGTTCATAGAAACAAATCTTAAATTATACAATTATTTCAATTATCATTTCATAGTTTTATTTTTAAACTCATACAAAAATTTCATGATATTAAAATTATACTACACACTATTAAAATAAATCATTAAAACAACAAGAAAAAATAATAATAATTTAAGCAATATTTTAATAACTATAATTTATCATTTCCTCAAATAACCAATAATTTAAATACTCCGATAGAGAAATAAAACTAAAACAAATGAAATTTCACATCATTGAGGATTAGTAACTTTGCCCAAATGAAACATACCTATCTTTTTTGTTGTGTTGTTGTTGTTGTACCAATTTAGAAAACATTACGTTTGTTCATATAATCGAATGATATGTTTACCAAAGAAATAATCTTCAAGATTATAGCGTTTCTAGATGTTTAATGAGAACGGAAAGGACGATTAAGATACTAAACACTAAGATTATTCAAGTAGGCGCTTGAGAATCGACTCTACTGAGTGGTTATACGTGTGGTTGTGTACGTAACTGATAGATAACTTTATTGACTGGTCGCATTACCATACGGTAGCTGGTATATACCTGTAACATCGGCTTCCAACGTACCGCAATGTCAATACTATTGCTCTTAAGTTGAAGTATAGCATTTAAACTGTTTCATTATTTTTAATTACTCTGATCCTTTCATTAACACCAGATGTTTTACTTTTTCTTTCTATTTTTTTTTTTTTTTTTTTTTTAATGATGACGATATTACAATCAACACACAAATATTAGGTTAATAAAATAATAATTGAGCCGTTCAGTGCACACATCGATTAACTCCACTTTGTGAAAAATCTTAAATTTAAGTGTCAAGTCACTTGGTATAATCGTCTCATAACTTTTTATATTTATAATAACTTTCTTGAATAATAAAGATTAACACCATTAAACGACAACATTTTTTTGCCCATTGAATAATAAGTAATACAACAATATACATTATTTCATCGCATTTCTCAACTTTTTGTTTTATGGACTTAATCGATGTGTGCACTGAACTGCTCAATTACAGTTTTTAAGATGGTTACAAATAAGTGTTGAATAATCAACATAAAGTTCTTTTAAAACCTTCACAATTTCTTTACATGAGTATTTTTTAATAATAACCATTGAATACCAATGTTAACTAATTGTCTTTGGATCTAAAGTATGATCTACATTTCGAGCAGTTCTTGATTAATAATATACCAACTTAAATTCAATAAAATTGTGTAACAATATATTTAATAATATTTATAATTAATATTTAATAATTTAATAATATTGTGTAAACAATAATTTTTGCTTTTATTTTATGTGATTAATTTAAAAACTCATATTCGACTATATTAAACAATGACAAAAAAATAATATAACAAAAAGCAAGTAGAGTCAATTTAAACAGTTAACAATGATGCATCATATATGATCGTAAATAAAAGTTAATTGAAAAAATGGGATATCAAATTGAAAATAATCAAAAGTAAAATTATTTTTTGCATTAATATAACCTTGTTTTGTTCATTTGGAATGATTTGGTTGGCCAACCAAATTCGCAATATTTCATATTTTTTATTTAGATTAATAGCCAGTAGTATTATATTGGAAATGTCAATAAAACATTTTTCGACATAAATTTATATGAACTTTCTTCATTTATTTGACCCCAATACGTAATAGAAATTTGGTCCCAATATTTTAGGACACTCTGTATATTGATATCAATCCAACACATCATAATATTATACAATAAATTATAATATATATTTAGGCATGAATTAGTAAAAATAGTGAGATTAATTTGTATAACAATTCCATTTGTAATTATTATTTTTATTTTGAAGAAGATCAAGAGCTGTAACATTCGTGAATGAATGAATGAATCGAGTCAAATCGAAAAAGGAGATTGCGTGGGAAGGGGATTCGTTTGAGCCTCTTGTATAATGAGACGAGTATTTTAATAAGCCGCCGATATATACAGAGAAGAGAAGAAGAAGAAGAAGAAGAAGAAGAAGACGACTGTCGTGGGCAGTTTTCATATTTGCCTTGCATCCTCGCTCGTTCATTCGACTTTCTCGAAAGTAACTTGCACGTGGGTGTAGATTAAATCTCGATCTCGTCCTTGTCATCAAACTACACGATGACAGTAGATATACAGTGACTCGGTTTAACATTCGGACGCCATGACTTTTTTTTTAAATATGATTAACAATGTATATACTTTTACTTGAAAATTTAATTAAACAATTTTGGTATGTTTTTTTTTTTATCAAATAATAATAATAATATACACTTTTTCTAATATATACTTTGTCAGAAATATAGCTGTAATTAATTGAATTGAATATAATATAATATATCTTTAAATATATATTATATAAAACTTTTAATTTAAAGCACATAATTATGTTAATAATATAAAAATACTTTATATTAATAATTAAATATAACAATAAAATTAATATAATTAAAATATATATAATTATTTTATATTAATTTATATTAATATATTATATTAATATTTAATTATTATATATAATTATATTACAATTATAATATAATTATATTATATTATATAATTATAATATTTTTATAATTATATAATATATTTATTTTTTATATACTTATATTATATTACATATATATATATTTATATTGTATATTATAATATTTAATAATTATATATAAAATAAATTTAATTATAATAAATTTATATAATTAAATTAATTATATAAAATAAATAATAATATATCCAAAAATATAATGAAACAAAGTGTTTTTGATAATAGTTTGACGAACAAAATATAAAATACAATTTATACAATTAAAATATTATCTTAATTAGTTACACACTTTTTATCTTTTTGTAATAAAATTTAAGTAGAGATATAAAAATATCGTTTCACAATGTTTTACATAATTATCATTCTACTACGTTTGCTAACACACTATGCAATTGTCGACAAAAAAAGATAAAAAGAAATTTCGAGTGGTATTACTAGGTTAAGGCACATTACTACAAAATAACTTATCCGATATGTGAACACCTTTCTCTATAATCGATAGGTAATGTAAATCTATAAAAGCATGTAACCTATGTTAATGTACAGTAAGAAAAAAAGGCCCCGTTCGTGGATCTCATTTCGAAGCTCGGTTTCTCAAAGGAAGACACGTGCGCCCGTACAATTAATTTCCTCTTCTCGTCAAACCGATCATCAGGTTAAAGTTCCATTAGCATTTATTGATTATTTAATGCCATTAAATTGTTCCCTTCTCCCTCCTTCTCCCTCCCTATTCCTCTCACTCATTTTACGTTATATTTTGTTCCTGTCTCTAGTTGGTAATATTTAACGACACACAAACAGGTATTTTTTAACGCAGTAATGAAATTCCAAACGATGAAAGAAAGAGAGAAAGATACAGTGAGATACAGAGAGAGAGAGAGAGAGAGAGAGAGAGAGAGAAGAAGAAGAAAATACGTGAACAGAAAGACTCCTCGGTGTAGACGAAAGATGATGACGCTATTGTTTCACCGTATATGGAACGAAAAACGGTCTGCTGTAGTCGGCAAACGTTCGGAATGTAAATGAAGATTATTACATGTCTCGAGTAAGTGAAATTTCATACGACGGTGTTATCGAAAACGGACTAATGCTGATAACGAAGGTTATTTCTTGTAGTTTTTGTTTTTGAGTCCAATGAAGTTCAATGAAAATGAAACAATTACAAAGATTACAGTTTTTCGTTAAGTATCTTAGAATATTATTCTTCTTGAACAGATTTTTTTGATACACATGCGTAAATACGTAAGTATTACGGTGTGTAGGTACACATTTGTAAAACACGAGGACGCCAGTCTGTCTCGGAACCAGGAATGGGATTAGAAAGCACGTCAATTCTCCGTAGGTCACGTCACCCGGATCGAGATATCCGGAGTGTTTTATGTGCACCACTGAAATCTTGACAGTATTTTTCTTTAATGATATTCTTTAGATAAGAATCATCTTTTTTTTTACGTGATAGGAGATATCAATTGTGATAAGTGTGTAGATTAGATTCGTTCGAAGATATTTCATTCTATACCAGGGGGTCGGCAATCTTTTGAGTCGGAAGAGCGAAAAATTACAATTTACAAAATTTCAAAGTTTTTAAAGAGCCACCAAATTTTTTCTTCCCAACAATAAATAGTATTCGCATAAATAAAGCTTTTTGATAAAAAAAATAAAAAATTATCTATTTATTTATCGGTGCCTAATCCTCTTGTTAATCGATTCAGAACAATTTTTAAATTTTTTTTTTTTTTTTTTTTACTAAATTCCTTTAACTAAAAAGCCGCAGCTTCAAATCTAAAGAGCCACATGTGGCTCTTTGGCGATTAAAATTTGGAATAAAATCAAAATGATGAGATGATTTCTAATTTGGAATGTAATCAATAATCAAAAAGGATGTTTTTGAAAGAGCCTGTACAATACGGGTTGTTTAATACACATACACACACACGTTGAATCATCTTGTGTGTTCCTATCGGAGTTGTATGTCGGATTGGTCTCTTACATAGAAACGTAATGTTGAACGCACGGACGGACCGGCTTCGTCCGTAGGGCGAGTCTCGAGACACGAGAAGGGTCAAAGGTCGAATGAACGAAGAAAAATGCACGCAAACGTAAGCGAAGGATATATAGCGTGGCTTGTACATATGCGAAATAGCTCTTACATATCATCTACTACTATATTCATATACATACATATTATATTATATTATATTATGTATACAGAGTGTTTCAACTTAAATATCTTCAATCTTATATTGTTTTATATATTAATAATAAAAATAAAATATTATTATATTTTATGATCAGAATTTATCGTATATTTTTTATTATTTCTAATTGATATAGAAGAATTTTATTTAAAAAAAAATTATAAAATATATATTAATTTTCTTTTTAATTATAATTAATATTACAAGATTAACCCCAAAGTTTGAAATAATATGAATCCAGCCAAGCATCTACAGCAAAACTTGTTATCAATTTTTTATCAAACTATGTTTATTGAAATTTGATAATGTAGATCAATATGCAATTGATTATTTTATATAAATATTTTATACAATATTATATATTTATTTTATACAATATGTAATTGAATTATTTTATACAAATCATATAAATTAAATAAGATATAATTATAATTACAAAAAAAAATGAATTATTTATAATTAATAAAAATATATTATTAAAATATTTTATAATATTATAATATATTATAAAATAAATATTAATATTATTCTATATTATTAAAAATTAATTAATTATAACTACAAACAAGTGAATTAATGATTACATTGATATTCTTTGTACAATGTTTGTTAGATTTAAAATATCGATTTTTATTAAAAAAAAAAAAACAAATTGTTATGATTTATTTACCTTGACAAAAGTGCCCATTATGAAATGATTCTAAGAGACATTGGAGATTTTTACTTCGAAACATAGCAACTTTTGATTCAAAACATATATGCTTATAACACAATAGAATTAGAGATATTTGGAGCATATTATATTAAAATGAGACACCCAGTATACGTATAAGATATATATGTAGTACGTATGGTATAAGAATCGTGGCATATACAGTGACACACCCACTTTAATACGTACCGGAATGCATTCGCATTTGATGCAGTACATAACTCCAAAAGGCGGGCCCAAATCCGCGAACCAGGTAGATCCCAACTCGCGAATCTGCTTACCGAATGTGCATTCTGTAAATATAAGAAAAACAACATATTAAGAAAAACTCTGTGTATTTTTCCATTAGAATGATTTTCAATTAGATTAAAACGAGTATACGTTAATAATAATAAACATCGCGTCATCACGCGTTGGATATTCCTTGCCACTGACGCAATTTGTAAACTAAAGCATAACGTAATCGCGAATTCTTAAATTTAAGTATAACGTAATCGGATTCTCTGCTTACCTCTCACCTCTCTCTCACTCTCTCTCTCTCTCTCTCGCTCTCTCTTTCTCTTTCAGAGAGCATATTCATCGTTCGAGTAAGTATTATCTTAAATATGCATCTCGCGTTTCTTTTCAATAACTCAAAGTGCGCATATGTTCAGTTACGATCAAAGAATACCGATTATTATTTATTACTAATGTATTTATATTTGTTCATCATTTCTGAGCTTATGTTAAATCGATAACACAAAAAAGGTGTATTTATTCGTAAGAATGGTACCTATAAAGAGACAAATGAGCCGTTCAGTGCATACATCGATTAAACTCTTTTGCAGCATAGAATTTCAGATAATAAAATAGCCTTATGTTGCATAGAAATTTGATTACGTTTTAAATTAAACAAAATTGGTATATTTTTTATTAACCCTTTGACTGCGGCGCGCTCTCGAACCAATCTATTAATATGAACGACGGGCGCGATTTTCGCATGTCAATCGCTGGCTGCGACTGTTTTTCTATTGACAACTAACCAAAACAGATAATAATGGCAAATAAAATAAAAATATGCATTTTTTTTTCAATTTTTTTTTAAGTAATTTAGTTTCTATGTTACATATATCATAATAAATTCCATGTAAAATTAATCGGTAAAACAGCAATAAAGATGTTATAGTAAAAGAAAATACACAAGGCGTATATTTACTATACAACTATATTGATTTTGACTATACCCTATATTGATGTGGATAATTATTAATATATTATATATATTTATATTTTAATTTATAATTATATTTCTTATTATTTATATTTTTATATAATATATTTTTATACCATATTAAATATATAATAATATTATATATAATAATATAATTTTATTATTTTTTAAATGAAACAAAATTGGTATATTTTTATTTACAGATATATTATAAATAATGATAAAAGCATAAAATTAAAAAAAAAATTAATAACGAAGAGTTAATAACCAATTGTTTTGCGTAAATAAGACGAAATATAAACTTATGAACATGTGTAGCTATTGCAATAATATTTCAAGGTGGGAATAAAAATGTCCCACCGTGCATTACGGTGTATCAAAAAGGTGGGACACTTTTAATTCCACTGTGCTCCAAAGTGTTAACTCCACTTTGTGAAAAATCTTAAATTTAAGTGTCAAGTCACTTGGTATAATCGTCTCATAACTTTTTATATTTATAATAACTTTCTTGAATAATAAAGATTAACACCATTAAACGGCAACATTTTGTTACCCATTGAAACGAATTTAAAGAAACAATATACATTATTTCATCACATTTCTCAACTTTTTGTTTTATGGAGTTAATCGATGTGTGCACTGAACGGCTCAAATAAAGAAGAGAAGGGGGGTGGGGGGAAAGGTGACAGAGATGGAAAAAGATTTAGATAAATCTATTTGGGTAACGGTGTGCAACAAGGTCGTCATCGTCACCTGTAAAAATGACGACTACAATTATTTCTCACCTTCTTTTTCTCAACTTCCGTCAAAGAAAAAAATATAAATAAAAAAGAAGGAATGAAAGGCTAATCCTAACATATGTCAGCGAGTAAAAATCTTCTTTTTCTTTTTTTCTTTCTCTCTCTCTCTCTCTCTCTCTCTTACTTTCTCTCTCATTTTTCTTTCCCACGTAAAAATAAGCCGAACGAAAATGAAGCCCTTCCAAAAATAACAATATCCACACTCGAGTCTAACTTATTTAGAATTCATCATATCAAACTAATCTGAAAATAAAATTTTTCAGGATATGCATAAGGAATGTTATCTGAATATAAGATTCTTCTAAGCCTTCTAATTTCAGATTGGTAATATTATATTTCTTTCTTTTAAAATACTTTATCCGAGTAATATTATATTGGAAATTCCTTTTTCTTTCTATTGACCACTGCAATTGCAAGTGTTCAAAAACCATTACGAAATGCAAAGGAAGACTAATCAAGCATTACTTACAAAAATATTCATTATATTTTTATTATATTTTGTATAGATACAAAATTACTATTATTATTATTATTATAGATAAAATTATTATTATTAATAATATTTAATACCAAATTTTATATAATATTTATAATTAATAGTATTATTATTTTTTTAAATATCTATATATATATATATTATAATTATAATTATAATTATACAATTTAATTATAAATATTATAGATAAAATTATTATTAAAATTATTAATACTATAAAATTACTATTATTAATAATATTTAATATAAAATTATATAATATTTATAATTAATAATATTATTTTTTATATCAATATATATAAATATTATAATTATAATAATAATTATATAATTTAAATATAAATATTATAATAATATAATTTATAATTAATATTTTATATTATTATTATTATTATTATTATTATTATTATTATTGTTATTATTATTATTATTATTATTATAGATAAAAAATACTCTTATAAAACAACTTTTATTAAAATTTATATAAAATTATATTTTTATTACGAATAATAATAATAAAGAATAAAATATTTCTTTGCAATAAAATTCATATCAAATTTGATAGTTTGATAATCCTAACATTAATTTGGGTATATAAAAATTTAGAAACACACACAAAAATTTCAATTACAAATAAATATGAATTATTTTCAATTTACAATGGAAACAGGTAGGGGAATACTCTTATGACTCACTATTTATATATATATATATATATTAATGTACATAAGAGGACGAGTGTTAAACGTTATGTAACTGTCTTTGATCGTGTACGTAACTACACGGCATAGGATCTGTTTTTCTTTTTAATTTACATTAATACATAAAAAAGGTCAATTAAAAAATAAAGGTAAAAATCATTCTCTCTCTTCTTTCTCTCTCTCTCTCTCTCTCTTTCTTTCTTCGATATATTTTGTACGCTTTAGATTAGAAGCTTAGAGACAAGTTGAAAGTTAACAATAAGAAATTGCAAAATTTTCTACTCTGCGTACAAGTCAAAAGAATATAAGAAGAAAAAGAAAGATAAAGATAAAAAAAGAGAGAGAGAGAGAGAGAAAGAGAATGCGTCGAGAAAGACGGAAAGAAAAGAAAGAGAGACAGCGAGGCTCGTTGCACGAGGTCGTTGCACTGGCCGTACTAAGTCGTTCTAAGCGCAGACTCGGTTCTAAGCAACCAGGAGCCAGAGAGGAGAACCTCGACACGCCACCGTATCGCAAATATGCGAGTTCAGTTCTGCAGCTCTTGTTCTTTCTTTCTTTCTTTCTTTCTTTCTCTATTCTCTCTTTTTATTATTATTATTTTTTTTTTTTTTCATTATATCTACGTAATAATCAAAGAAACAGTCAGATTAAGACCGAAAATGCGTTGTTTTTGATAAAATATTAGATCTACCGGAAAGTTCTGGCAAACATCGGTTGAATTTTTTCGTCTCTAGGGATAAAACATTGTTGATAAATGCAATATTATACAAATTGTTATCACACTATGATAAAAAAAAAATTCATAAATATTAGTCAATTAAAGAGATATAAAAATTTATGATTACTTTGATTTTATTCTAAAAATGTACACACAACTTTCTAGTAGACCTAATAATAAAAAGAAATAAGATAGCTAACAGAGATTATCATCTTCTTCATTCTATCTATCTTTTTTTATTCACAATACAATGATGGATTCTTGACTCATGTCAGCAGGATAATCCAAGAACTCATCAAAATATGGTGCTCGTCCAAATCAGATTCAGCTTTCCTCGACTTTCATCAAGAATTCCAGGAACACATTTGCTGTTCTTCTAGCAAGAGCACTATTCTCAGAGAGGGAGAAAAAGAGAGAGAGAGAGAGAGAGGACGGGTTAAAGAGGGCTGCTGTGACTGAGGAGGGCTGCTATGAATGTTCACACCAAGAGAGTTCGATGAACTTTGTTCGAATATCTAACAGGAGAACTCGGGGAATATTATTTTGGTTGAAAAGCTCTACGTCGATACGTGGAAAATCTGAGATGGCAAAATTTACATTTCATTTTCATTTTCGAAACGAAAAATGTAAAAGTCAAAATACATACCATGAGAGAGAGAGAGAGAGGGAGAGAAAGAGAGGTGTAATAAGAGATAACATTGGTGATATTTAAATCATGGCCGCATTTAAAGCAGACTTTTTACGAGTCGAATCGAAAGAGTATGTAACGCCATGAGTACGTCCTCGACTCGCTACTAAAATAAATAATATGCCTTCGTGGAAATACGAAATATACGAAATGTAGAAACACGTGCTACTTCCGCTTACGAATTTTATGCCACCATTCCGTTCCGTACAATGTTACGCTCAATTAACAAAAATCCCTAATTCCCAAGTGCAAGATCTTCAATGTACAATAATTAAATATTAATCATGGAATAATAATTTTTAACGTTACTTATCATTTTTGTTAAAGATTTCTATTATTTTACAAATATTATTTCCATTACAATTATATGACGTTCATTAACCCTTTGAGTGCTACATACTTTCAACTAAAATTTTTTATAGGAGAGGAATAATTTATTATTAACCAGATTCTAATAATAAATTACAGTTTTTGTTTCTGTGAATATAATTTATATAAACATTAATATTAATCTTTGCTTATCACCCTTCCTGGAGTAACACGCTTACCACACCCGGGTCCTTTGGACCCGGGCGAGAAAAGTAAAGGTTAGTAAAAGTAAAGTGGTAAGTAAAGGTTAACAAACACGCATATGCGTCGATAGATCACTCTGCTAATTTTTACCAAACGCATATATGCAT